AATATGTTCTGCTACTTTAATAGAAGATGATATTGACCAAGACTAAATCGAATTCGCTGATTCAGAATCAGTAGTAGAATATTCCTAGCGTGTCAATTTTTTAATGACTATTACAAGGATACCACCGGATCCACATGCTGTGTGGGGATCCAGGTTAGAGATGATAACAGGAAACCTGGAAGGGGTTATATGCATATTACTCAACAGTTGTAAATGAGAAGTTATACAGGGATACTCGAGATGAGTCAAGAATTGAGTTTAAGGAGAATTTACGACCGAAACATTCAGTTTTATCAGCAGATGTTAACACCTCAAATTGATTGCAGAGAGGAAGTCTAGAGATTACACTTATTTAATACCCTATTATATAGTCAACAATAATCACAAAATCACCAATAATCACAAAAAGACAAATTTGTAAGATGCAATACGGTGCCCCATTCTCTTAGCTACTTCAAGTAGGCGTTTACATGTATTATGAACCGCATCGAATAGGCACCTATCGTGACTAGAGCTTTCACGTTGGTGTAGCCGAAAATTGTGGTTCCTATGTGCTATAGCGGCCGAGTATGTTGATGTAAACCATGGACAGGACTGCTGTTTCACCTGGTATTTCCAAGAAGGGATGAAAGTGTCCATACAGGCTTTGACTCAAGATGAAACATCAGTGGTACAATTCTCAATTGGAAGGTTAAAGATGCCAGAATTCATTTCTTGCCCTTTCTTAAACTAATACAACTCCACACAGTACACCTCTAACTTGAGTGGCTCTTGGGCCTTTTATTGGAGTAACATTTGCAAAAAGATAAATGCATAAATAAATATAAATCATAAATTGCAAAATCTATATAAATTACATTTTACTTCTTTTGGATTATAAAAAATATAAAAAAGTAAAGATAAATGTAATGGTTCTACATTTAATATTTTTAATAGTACGATTATCCTCGAAGTATTTTTAAAAATCATTTCACCCCAAGCAAGGCGATAACACCACTAAGACGCCAAAGGTTACTGAGTATGAAAGAGAATGACAAGACTTTAGTCAGGAGAAAGTTTAATAAAAGAACAGGTTTCAGAAAGACAGAAGATGGCGATTGACGTTGCACTTAAATGTTTGAAGATCGTATGTGGCAGGGAAGAAGGGAGAAACTTGAAGTGAGTTCCTCAATGTAGAAAAGTAAATACACTATTAGAATAAAACTTACAGTTGAATCTAGAATTTAGGATTTGCCATTTTTCTTCAATCATTTCGCCACAAACAAGGCGATATTGCCACTAAGACGCAACGGATTACATGGAGGGGAATAAGATGGGAAGACTTTAGAAAAGAGGCAATTAAAGAGCATGGTTCAGGAAGACAGAAGATGGCAATTGACGTTCCTTTTAATTTTTTAAAGATTCTTGGTGGCAGAGAAGTAAGAAATTGGAAGGCAGTTCCACAAGTGCGAGAAAAGAATCTATTAGAATAGGACTTACGCTTACAGCTAGCCATTTGAATAGTAAAGCGATGAGACTCAGTAGTCAATCTAGTAGTACGCTTCAATTCACGGGGTTGAGGTACGAAGGGGATCTCATTACAATCAGAGTGAAAATAATAATCGAAAGACAAAAAGAGGCTACGTTAGGGTGAGAGGAAAATGACTGAAATCAAGATTTCAAGTTAGAACATATATACTTACAGAACTTTCTTTGTTTTTGTTTTTTTTTTTTTTTTAAGAATCTCTTTGTGTATAGCAATTATGTCAGCAATATAAATGCATTGGCGAATGATAGATTTGTAATTGTGCAAGATCGATTCTGCACAATGGTGTTACGTATTCTTTACACCACATTGTAACCATTTTTTTACTCTTTTCTCTTTGACAAGTATCCACGTAGACTTAGCATTGTGTTTGGCTTTTTTTCTTTCAGAATTATTTGCAGGTAAATACTCCAAGTAATGACGAAACCTGTTGAATTTTAGAGCTGCCAATGAAGCGCTTAAACACGAATCATAAATAAATGATATTCTTCTCTTTGGAAAAGAAAGTTGATATCATCAATTGATGATACCCGCTGACCTCCACTGATATCATCAATTGATGATACCCGCTGACCTCCACTGATATCATCAACTGATGATACCCGCTGACCTCCACTGATATCATCAACTGATGATACCCGCTGACCTCCACTGATATCATCAATTGATAATACCCGCTGACCTCTACTGATATCATCAATTGATGATACCCGTTGACCTCTACTGATATCATCAACTGATGATACCCGCTGACCTCCACTGATGTCATCAATTGATGATACCCGATGACCTATACTGATATCATCAACTGATGATACCCGCTGACCTCCACTGATATTATCAACTGATAGGTACCTCCACGAAATTGCTAAAAAAAAAATATAGCACGAAAAAAAACGATGTAATAAATTTTTATCGGCTTAAATATATATATCATTCTTAAGAAGAAACACCAAAGTATTTTTTGACTATTTTTAAAAATTTTTTACTCATTCTTATCAGGTCCGAAATTTTATTTAAAAATGTTGTTTATTTCTGTCATCAAAATTACTTAAAAAAGTAGCTATAAGCCATTTTTTTTCTAATTTTGTAAACAAGTTAAAATCCTCGTTTATAATTATTCCAAAAATCAATTATACGTTTTTCAAAATTTATTTGACTAAAATTAGCAAATTTAAAGATTATTTAAAATTTTTTGAAAGAAGCTTTTACTTACTTTTTTCGAATAAAAAAATTGTTCGAAATAAAAAGTAAGCGATCTGAACTGCGTTGTCAATTTTCAAGTGCTGAGTGATGCCTGTCATCACATATCGACAGCTAACGTGAGATTCGCGTTATCATACGGATGGTCATACGTGACGTAACGTTTTTTTTTTTTACGTGAATCAGCTTATGTACTACCCCGTAATTAGTAGATAATAAAAAACAAAAAATTAGCATTCCAATTTCCTTTATTTTGTTATTTTATTATTACTGGAACTTAAAACATAACTTTGTTGATACTATCTATAGAGATAATAAATACTATAAATAATGAAATCTACGCTTACACTCAAGCCACGTGACGTTTTATAGCTTGTGACCTTCCGTACTTTTTAATGACAAACCATTTAAGCGCTTTTTATCAAAACATAATTACATTTCTTCATTAGTGGGTATCATCGGATTGGTCCAAATTATACAATTTTCAAATCCCTAGACAATGACGAGCTAAGAAAGAGAAGTACAAAGGTGGATGGTGCTGTTAATTATTTTTATAAGTTTTTAAAAAATTTAATGCAAAAGTTTTAAAATTTCGATTTAAAATTAAAGAAATGAGAAATAATTGTATTAAAAATTCAATTTTCATTGAAAAAATTTTTTGCTTTCAGAAAATATTGTCCATATTCATACGAACAAATAAAAACAAATAAAAGCGTTTGAGATTAAATAGTATATTTGTTTTTATTGAGTTTTATATGTTACAATTCAGAGCTGATTTTCAGGTACTGGGTCAATTAAAAAAAAAAAAAAAACAAAACATGATTTACATTTTGCAAAGCCTTGTGCTTTAAATATTGTAATCACTAAAAACCGATGGTATGGATTTTTTAGAGTTTTTCATAAAATTAGATATGGGGGTGTTAATAAATATAAAAAAAATATTTCTGCCATGACTTTAATAAAAAAAACATATTCATAATAATTTCGATCATCTGTGAATATTTTCTGAAAGTTTCATTAATATCTGACAATTATTTTTATTTTTGCAAGATTTTCCAAATTAATAGGTATAATACAAGAAAAACGCGCTAAAAAGTATCTATGTTATTTAGTACTCCTTATTGCAAAAAAGATAAACAAGGTTTTTTAAATCAAAATTTAGAATATTCTAAAAAGATGGAAAAATTTTGAAAAATAATTAAAAAAAAAATTGGTCTATCCTCTTCATAAAAACATAAGCATTTTGACGATAAAATTTTGCTTTCATAAATTTTGGCGTCTTTTTCATCAGACTATGCTCTATTTTTTTGAAATGTCGTAGAGATACCTTTCAACTGATGATACCCGCTGATCTCCACTGATATCATCAATTGATGATAACCGCTGATCTCCACTGATATCATCAATTGATAATACCCGCTGACCTCCTTTGAAATTACAATTAATGATGCCCATCTTTTAAGGCTGTAGAGGGTCAAATTTCGGCCGGCGGGATACATGCGGTCAGTTTGGCTTTCTGAATATCAAGCCTAAATTCATGAGGAAAATGACATTACATTTAGTATCTTTCGTTTCTTTCTCACCTGTTCACTCACACACTCTCTCATACATAACCACGGACAGAAACAGTGATTAAGTGCAATGTTTCTTGAATTTTTAATTTTTCGTGGAAGGTAACATTTTCATCATTTTAAACCATTGGCGATTATCATTAAGGAAGATCAGACGTGTAAATATGTTTTGCTTTAGAAACAGGAAACGTGTATAATATTTTTTTATCTGAAGAAAAAATCTATTTTTTATTAAAAAATTCTTTTATTGTTGTTGTTCTTTTCAAGTAAATAAATTAAAAATAAATCAAACAAAACATTGTTTGCTAATCAAACTGCCAAACGCTTACACATATGTGTTTACTATAATGAAAATGACTGAGTCAGGAAAAATGACTTTGCATCGCTTTAGTAGTGCGATTAACCTTATGATGTACCATATCTCATGAAGCCTACTGGTCGGAAAAGGTGATACATGACTTATTTAAGGAGTAATAACAGGTTCTAAACAAAATATATACGCAGAATCTAGATGACATTTGCTGAAGCATAAACATAGATCTTACGTGAGTGCAGTATAAAGTATATCAGTGCGAATAGAAGAATTGACGAGCCGAGTTCAAATCCTGGTACAGTGTGTACACCGTCTCCGGAAAGGTATGAAAACTGGAACCGGAAATCAACTCTCCGATTTCCAATTTACACTACATGTACATTCAATCTTACAGCACCTGGTATTACCAAGCAGTCACTCATCTAGATAATGACCAGGCTCGACGTTGCTTAACTTCGGTAATCGTACGAGAGCCGGTGGTTCAACGTTATATGGCCGTAAGCCCAAGTACATTAGAGAAAACCAAATATTATATTGCGCTTAATATGCTTGTATTTTTTATCAATTCGCTCCAAGCAAGACGATAATGTTACTAAGACACAAGAGGCTACTAGGAGTGAAAAAAAATGAAAATGACTTTAGAAGGAAGCGAAAACTGAATCCTAAAGAGGAAAACAAGGGATAAACCTCTATTCCCGTTCGAAAGATCGGGAACAAGTGTAAAGACTGAGAAGTGTGAATAGAAAGCCATAAACTGAAGAAAACGCTCTTCTAGAAAGAAAGTATTCCTTATTGAACGTTAAACGCAATAAGTTTTGGTTATAGAAGATTAGAATTGAATAGATTTGGTAAGAGCGCCCTTGAAAGGAAATCAAATTTAATCTTAAATAACTTGTGAGACTAGACTAATAATCACCAGTAATCCTTAGTACATTATAGTAGAGCAAATTTGGCACTAGTAATGTTAATGTAGTGGTTAGGTTTAACTATATTGGTAAAATATATTGTAAAACTAATTTCGAAATATTTAAATACTCTGTTATCGCAGCTATGGAGATTCCAGCTCCAATATTTTTTAATCATTTCACCGCAAGCAAGGTGGGAATGCTACTAGTCCACAAGGGGTTACAGAGATTGAAAGAGAGAAAAAACTGAGACTAGGGAGGATTGTGGAAAGGACAAAAGATGAACGGGATTCAAGAAGATGGCGATTGACGTGATATTTCAATTTTTGAAGATTGCATTTATCAGGGAAACAAGTAAACGGAAGGGAGTTCCAGAGGCGGGAAGTTCGAGAAAAGAAACTGTTGGGGTAGAATTGGCGGTTCCATTCAACTATTTCGATATTAAATGGATGGGACCAAGATGCCAATCTAGTAGTACGTTTAAATTCATGCAGTTAAGGGACCAGGGTGAGAGTTCATTAGATCCTATATTTGCTGGGTTAGTGGTCTCATACCAAACTCTGCACTAAATTATTAGTTCTTAGAAGTTGGAAAGATTGGCAATTATCAAAAAACTCGACTAAGCTGTTAGCTATCAACATTCTTAGTTAAATGATGTTTTATACACAAGCAAAGATGCGCCTTCCGACGTACAAAGCGTTGTTTATTAATATTTTGAATTTATGATTTCCTGAGATAAGACAAAAATCAATTTAGAGGCAAATATATTAAAAATTTCTTCGAAGAAAGAATTAAACGCGACGCTTCACCTGCACTCAGTTGCAGACAAACGCACAAGCAAATTGTTTTAAACCTGATGATGTTTCTTTGCAACCAATAAATCCTGTCTAAACCTACACAAACATTCTAGAATATGCTGTCAATTATATTTGCGCGATTCCACGCGTATATTCATCGTACAGATTGAAAAGTCGAGCCATAAAAGCCATTATATACTTGCTTGTCAGTACGGGTGGCTTTGAATTGTTGCTATCTGCTTGATTACATCACAGAGCCTGCTTAGCAGATGTATTCGACTGGCGAGAGAGGGCGCCACCAGCGACTATGTATCGAAATATCGCGGTGAATGAAGCAGCCAGCCATTAAATGGTGTAGCGGGTTAAAGACGAACTTGGATGAATTGAATGTTTGATAAATAATGGCAGCTGTGGCATTTCCTAAGAGACACGAAGAAGAATTAAAGTCGAGCTGAGGTTTTGCGGTAGTGTTTCAAAATATACAGACAGTTGCAGAACAAACATCGCTGTATGTGGCACGTTGAAATTGGACGTAAAAGTTTGCCGCCGATGGACTAGGAACCTGTCTATGTTTACTCAATCAAATGATGTCGTAAGTTGTTCGTTAGAAATGTATGTTGGACAAGATGCATTTTCTGTACCGGTTTGACTGGTTGATTGTTTCCGTGTATTCCTCCCTGCTATGATGATAACCTAATCCCTGTTGCAGATGCCTGCTCAGGCACATTTGTGTTCGTTCAACACCCACGGAACCAACATATGGTTTACACTACACTATGCTGAGCGAACCGTAGTCACATTTTGGGGGTGAGGATATAACTGAGCAGGAGTACTGTTGTCATGTTTGGGTGCAGGCTCCATAGACCGCACTCTCCAGCATTGATAGAGCCCCAAAGCGTCTCCGACCACTTGTGGGTGACGAATTATTCTCCAACCACTCTCCTACAGGCGAAGCAATCCTCTCGCTGCTTTATCGCCACGAAAAGTGCTCGGACGAACTATATTCCCTGGTCCTGTCAATTCAAACTTTCACGGCAAGGACGCGCCATGCCATTTACATAGTAGCAACCCGCCCACCATTCCCTCTGTATTCCACTGGTGAGAATTAAGTTCCTCATGAAAAGCCTCTTCCCGCGAAGTACTGCTATGTGGAACCGACACCCAACAGGATGTTTCCCAGATCACTACAATCTTAGCCTAGTATTAACTATTATCTGCCACTCCTATTCGCACAAATTGTCTGCTAAAACAATCTTCTATTTCGAATGCCCCCCCTCTGGCCTTGTACGAGGTGAACCTTACTGTAAAAAATGTTTCAAACCCTCGTCACGATGAATTATGAGTTTCATGCTAGCAAAATTTCACCTGCTCTAACGACCCCCACCCCCTAAGGCTTGGATCAGCCGGTGGTGGTGTTTTATGTACTTCGTAATAATGCAACACTTTAGGATATTATCACGAAACACTCTCTTTGACAAATAAACTATGGTGAGGTTCGAACTTAGATTTCCTGGATAAAACACTAACTTTCTAACCAGGTGCCAATATATTCTTCGTTAAAATAGTTAATGCTTGATAAAGAAAGTTTGGCACACATACATTTCTGGGATTTTAGGTGAAATCTGAATTCGTTCTAAAAGTGTATCATGACGAACATATTCAGAAGCAAGCTTATTTAAATGAGACAAATTTTACAGAGGAACAAATATTCCTGAAAATCCATTTTGGATGTGCAACAATAAACCGACGACACATTACAGCTTCGGGTTAGAATCAGTAGCGGAAGAGAAAAGTGATCTTCGACAATAGTAATACAATTTATTGAACGTCAAATACAATAATTCCTAAGGTATTTTTAGATGAGAATTTGTTACAAGGAAATACTACTTACGCCCTTAAAAGGAATCTAATTTATTATTTAATAATTTATGAGATCAGAATATTTAATCATCAACACACGTTAGTAAGTGCATTAGAGCAGAGCAACTTTGGCACAGGTTATTTTGCATGGAATGTGCTCTGTGGTGTCATGGTCTTCTTCGAATTCTATTCGAGATTGTTCCATTCACTTACACGTAAATACACCTAGGAAAGTTATGGATGCATCTCTTCTCTCCAGCCCATTTATGGATTGAATAGCCGGATAGACTGGGTCCTGTAGCCTTGTTTGGCAACCAGTTTGCCGCAGAAAAAAAACTGCAGCCTACTACGGGTTGTCTTCTTCCGAGTCAGTCATGAATCACAAAAGTATGATCGCCGACGCATGTATCACGTATGGCACGTAACTGAGTGATGATTTTGCGTGTGCTCTTAAAAATCAAAGTGATTAAGTTTAACTATATTTTTTTTAAGCATATCACCCCAAACAAGGCGGGAAGCCACTAGCATGCAAGGGGTTGTAGAGGATTTAGAGCGAGAGCAGATAGGAGTGATAGAGGAAAGGATGAGTAGAAGGATAGTGGATAGATCAAGGCAACTGGAGATGTCGATTGACATTACATTTGAATAGTTGGAGTTTATAGCTCTCAGGGAAACAGGAATAGGGAAGGGAGTTCCACAGGCGAGAGGTGTGAGATATGAAACTATTGGAGTAGAAGAGGAGGCTACATTTAATAGTTTCAGCAGTGAAAGGGTGAAATCGGGATGCCAGTCTCGTAGGACGCTTGAATTCGCGAAGTCTGGGAACCAGCGAAAGCAGCTCATCGGAGCAGTTACCATGAAAGTATTTGTAAAAAAGACAGAGAGAGACAATGGTACGTCTGTGAGAGAGCGACTGCAGACGAGATGCCAGATCAGGGCCAATTAAATTGCATATCCGTCTCTGGATCTTATCAAGAACCTCGAGGCAAACAGAAGGGCTCTAGACCATATATGGCAGCAATACTCCATGCAAGGGCGAATGGTTGATTTGTAGTTTTGAAGGATCGATTCAGGGGAGAAAGATTTCCTGGCGCGGCACAGGGAACCAAATTTTCTTGCGGTGGACGAAGCGATTGACTCAATATTTGTAAAATATATTGTAAAATTGATATCGAAATATCTAAATCCACTATTGTTGTAGCTACGGGGATTCTAGCCACAATGTATTTGCCGTGTGAACAGTTTCATACCAAAGACTGTACTAAATTATTAGCTCTCTGAAGAGATTACAATATCAACATGCTTTTTAGTAGGCCTTCTGCATGAGAATATTAAAATGAGTTACGATACACGGGAATATATTAACTTGTAATCATTTTCCCACAAGCAAGGCGATAAAGCTACTAAGACACTAGGGGGCTTACTGGGAGTGAAAGAAAATGAGAAAATCTTTGCAAGGAAAAAGGACAATAAAAGAACAGGTTTCCGGAAAACAGAAGATGGTGACCAATGTTGCATTTACATTTTTGAAGACCGTAGATTCCATGGAAGCAAACAAACCGAAATAGAGTTCCACAGACAAGAAGTGCAAGAAGAGAAACGATTAGAATAAAACTTACAGTCAGATCTATTTAAACAGTAAAGCGATGAGACCTACTTGCTAATCTAGTAATTCGCTAAAATTCATGCCGTCGAAGTACCAGGCAGCTAACTAACTCTGAATAGGTTTCCATAACAGACAGGAAATCATCATTACATCTTAATAAGCACATTAGAAAAGGCCACATATATTACGGTGACATTGCGTGTGCCCTTGAAAAAAAATCTAATTATTTCTAAATAGGTTTATAGACCAGTAAGCTAATCAACATTACATCTTAATAATCGCATTAGATAAGGCCGCCTATAGCATGATGACATATAGTTTGTGCCCTTGACA